AGAGAGCACCCATGAAGCTGGGAGGGACATGTAGTTCTGGTAGGAATTGGGGGAGAGAATGGGCCTAGATCAAAATACATTTTACGTACATATGAAATTCCCCAAAGAATAGTCTTTTCGAAGGAGTGTAGGAGGTTGGTTTTCAACATGAATGTCCTCAACACCACCACGCACAGGACACTGGTTAAGGTGAGTCTCAGCCAGGAGGGAGGCCCCTCCAGCCGAGCTCAAGGCTAGCCTGGGCAACACTGAAGAAGGAAAGGCCGTCACAGTGAAGTGTATGTGTCTATTTTATCCAGTAAAACCTCCAGACGCCCAGCAGCTGTGGGAACCTGAAACAGCCTGCTGGTCCCGAGCCTGAGACTTATCCAGAGACTGAAGATGGATGTGTCACCTCTGTCTCACAGGCTCAACTGCGGGGCGCACAGGACAAGACCAGTTTGCAAGAGGGAGATTCTGAGGGGAGCTGAGAACCGTCTACCCCCTCCACCAACTGCCAGGCTCTTCTGCTCCACAGAATAAATCAAGGCCAGAGAGCTTCCTTCAAAAAATAGTTTATTTTGCGGATCTCTCGGCAGCCTCTTCAGCGCCCCCAAGTGGTCAGGGCAGCAGCTAGTGGCAGTCTGGGCTTTCCTCCACATGAGGAGGACTTTGCCCAGAAGAACCCTTCACCCCCAATGGCTTCCCCAGCCCATGGCATGGCACAGAGTGTCTCATTCAGGCCCTGATGCTACAGAGCCTGTGGGTGCTGGGAAAGTCTCTGTGAGCAGATCCAGAGTGTTTGCAGCACAGTCCCGGGTCGCTGGCTTAGAGTTGTTGGCTCCTGCCGTGGTATCAAGGCACAAGGTGAGAAGGAAGTGTATTGGTCAGGGGTCCTGGGAGGGATAAGGGGCAACCTCTCTGCGCTCAGGCAGGAGGGCACTCGGTACCATATGGGTGACCAATCCATGGCGTGAGGTCCAGTCCCTGCCGGATGGCAAACATCCTGTCCATTAGTCCTTTATCTCTGGAGAATCTCTCTAATGGAAGAGCCTGTCTCTAAGATGGTTGTCCTGCCTCACTAGGGCCACTTGGAGAACAAAATGTCATTTTATTCTCTTAAATGAAAATTTTTTTAAAAGGGGAAATCATTTTTGTTCCTGCTTGGGTACCTGAGTGTCTAATAAGCCTCATCACCAAAAGATGTTTTCTTGGGTCTCATCTGGCGTTTTCTTTGGCCTGTTTATGCCGCTGAAGGACACAGGGGGCTGAGTGCAAACCAACGTGGTGGTACAAGCTGTCTTGTGATCGGACAGTGAGTGCTGAGACACTGGGATCCCTCATCCCAGGCCAAAAAACCAAGGAACCTGCAACGATTGGTTCAGTTCACCTCAGAGAGGCAGCGTCGGACCCTGAAGTCCCCAGGTGAGGAGAGGCTGTGCCCACCTAGCAGGGGCACAGGGGCCTTTTGTCCAGGAAGACGCTGGTCAGGAATGGCAGCTCAGAGTACTCAGGGTGGCTTTGTGAATTTTCTCAAAATAAGCCCCAGCGTCTTGTGAAGGCCAGCTGCACGCCACACCCACTGTCCCGGGGGTCCAGGGGATGGCTGGAGTTGCTCAGGAGGAAGCTGGGCTCTCCGTGGTAGACAGCAGCTGAACCACCTGTATCCGCTCAGCCGGCGTGAGGTACTGGCTCAGGTATGCCACGCAGTCCATGGTCACCTCTGGGTGTTCTTGAACTAGACTACAGAGAAGGAGAGAGACAGGGGGAGACTCTTGCCACCTAATTCAGTGTCTCTAGGTGGTAGTGTCCTAGATTATACAGGGCACCATGTTGCTCTTGAATGGGCCAGAGCCCAGAGTTCTGACTTTCTCTTGCTGTGCTCACACAGGGAAGTGGGAGGGTGAGGGAGTAGAAAGGCAGGGGATAGACAGCCCTGCAGGTACACGGGATTCTGACACGGGGACAGAATGCCTCAGGGTGGCATAGTTTCTAGTCATTCGTTGTGTGGTATGATCTGAGGCGTGACACACACCAGGCAGGTATCCCAGATGTCCTATGAGTCACCTCTTTGGAGGCTTCGGAAAGACTGGGAGGGAGGGAGCCAGTGTCCTCAGCCCCCAGGCCTGTGGTACGGTCCTAATTAGCTAGGTGCTAGCCACCCAACTCGACCAAGCTCTGCTCTCCCACCGACCACAGCTCTACTGCTGGGGGATGATCATTCTGGGTTGTTACCTCACCTCTGAGGTTGGGTCCGATCCCAGCCCTGTGGTGGCCCGGCCAATGAACCAGAGGCTGGCCGCGGGCATGCCACTCTGAGGCTCACCTTTGGATGGTCTTGAGGACAGAGTCCCGCTTCAGATAACTGATGTTCTCACGGATAGTGGAGCGCAGGCTGTCCCTGGCTGACCAGTGCTGTTCCAGCCACTGGACCACCACCTGGTTGCTGTCCCACAGGTAGGCCTGGGGATCAATGGGTACAGTCTACGTCAGGCGGAGATGCTGCTGCAGGGGCATAGCTGGCAGCCCCTATACTCCCAGTGCCTGCCTGCTGCAGCTCCCCTCTTCCTGCTCGGACCCACCTTGACAGCGCCCTCCGTCTCCACAAACCAACGTCGCAGCATGGACTGCGTGTGCTCGTGGCTCAGCTCGGGGCTGGCTCGGAGGATCTCCTGCTTCACCTGGGCCTCTAGCAGCAGCCGGCGCAGCCTCCAGTATAAGAAGGTGCGAGAGGTCTTCCATTCTAGGACATCCTGTGGATGTGGTCACCTGAGTACGAGGTGTGGGGGCGGGGGCGGGGCAGGGTGGGGCGGGGAGGCAGGAGACCAAGGCTGTGCCCCCAGGATGGCTATCTGGCTCCTCCCCACCTTATCCTACAAGCAGGGGTGTCCAGTGTAAGAGATGAGCTTTTATCTAGGGGGACACAGAGCAGGGCTCTGCAGGACTCCACGGTGCTGGGCCCGTCGTAGGGTGACAATGTCCCTCTGAACCAAACTAGTGTCCAAATTTACTTCTGCCTTCCCAAAACTCAATCTCGGGCTAGTTCCCACAAGAAAAATGGCCAGCTATGGGCACCAGCCAGTGGGCACGGGATGTCCTCTTAGGAGCAGGTCATGGGTTAATGCCAGCACAAACAAGGTTTTAAGCCTCATCAAAGGTGCAAACTCAACAACATTTAAGTTACTCCAGCCTTTCCAAAGCCCAGGTCTACCCTGAGTCTCCTGGGGGTTAAGGACAGAGGCTGCAGGCTCCTGCTGAGATACATACTCAGACTGAACTACCCAGACAGCCCTCTGAGCCCTGGTTTGGCTCCATCCCAAACCCCTACATGTTCCTCTGTGTCCCGGTGGCCTTGGGGGACCCTTACAGAAATGATTCCCTTCTCCAGCATGTGGCCCGGTGTGTCATGCAGGTCGGCGAACTGCACTGCCACCTGGTGGTAGATGGGGAGCAGCAGGTCCTCCCGGGCCTTCAGCTGGCCCTCCAGCTCCTTCCGGTCCTTGTCAGGGAGCTGGGCTTTCCCTGCAGGTGAGCAGACAACAGTGGGACTTCAGGGGCTGTGAGGGGTGGCCATGTGGGGCTGGGGCGGATTTTCTTGGTTTCGTTTTTATTTGAAAGGCCACAAATGAGAGGCCCTGCCCTGTGAGAGCCCAGGCTGCGATGCTAACGCTGTTCCTAAATCCAGTTGCCCTGCATCTTGGAAATGGGTTCACAACCCCAAGACAGCATCTGGGTGAAACCCCAGCCCTGACCCAGGCTTCATCATACCACCAGCCCTTGTCTTCAGACAGATAATGAATACAGTGGGGATAAGCTAACTCTATGCCACAGTTCTGTCAAGGGGAGATGGGTAGGAATGAAGACAACGCTGTTTAACAAGGAAATCCACACTTAGAATCCTAATAAGGGGGACAGTGAGATGGCTCAGAGGAGAAAGGGTGCTTGATGCCGAGACTGATGACCCGAGTTTGATTCCCGGGACCCTCATAGTGGGAGAAGAGAACAAATTCCTGCAAGTTGTCCTGATATCCACACATGGGCCATGGTGTACACACACACACACACACAGTGAGAGATACAGAGAGACATACACACAGAGAGAAACACAGACACACACAGACACATACACACACAGAGACACAGAGAGAGACACAGAGAGACATACACAGAGAAACACAGACACAAACACAGAGAGAAACACACACAGATATATACACAGAGAGACACACACACAGAGACACGCACACAAAGGCAGGCAGACAGACAGACACACAAGGAGAAACACACACAGAGAAAGACACATACACACACTAAATGTAATAAAAAGGAAAGGAACCTTGTAAGAGGTGTTTCCAGACATAATGCCAGCTCTACACAAACTCAAAGTCACAGAGGTGCAAATCCAAATCCCAGAGGCCCTGGTCCTCCAGACGTTACACAATGTAATGAATGGGTAGGCAGTCAACACAGTCACAGACATCACCGCCACACGGACATCCAGAGAGAATGACATCGAGGAAGTGAAGTAAAGCATTCGTGAAATAAAATTGGTAAAATTGTTTCTCTCTGGCTGGGGATTCTAAAAGGACGTTATCATCACCGTGTTCTGCTGTTCCCCTTGGGCCCCAAATGATTCGGTCACCTCACACTATGTGTATGGGACATCGCGCTGACTACAGGATCACAGGATGGACATCTCTCACCTCAAATGCTCCAGAGCCTGAACCTCTGAGCGCAGGTAGCCTGCCATAGCGGAACGTCCCACCCCTGACCCCAGAGATGGGCATGGACAGAAGACAGCTCTGAAAATTAATTTCATGTTTACTTCTGGGACCCTTTGCCAAACCATCCTACACAGAACACACAAACTGAAACTCTCCCAAATATCTGCCACCTGAGACACTTCCCGGCCAACACTGTGTCCTGTGGAAGGAGCCGATTGCAAACGTGGGCTGGCCTTGGGGCAGGGGGCGGACTCACAGTTTGACACATGCCCATTCTACCCACAATGCACTTGGGTCGGCACCATTGGCGACCTGGGGGTGGCGCCTGTGTGGCCCACTTACCCAGCTGTCCCATGAGCTTCTTACACACTGGGTCTATCCTCCTTATGGTCTTCACCAGATCTTTCTTCCGAAACTTAATCTCCACCGTGCCCTCGGGCTCCAGAACACCTCCCCTGGACAGAGGAGAGGACAGGGGGAGGGGCTGAGGACAGACACCTTAGGTGTCCCCACTCTCCTGCCTTGGGCTCCTTTTTTTTAAAAAAATTTGCTTATTTCTTTGAATGCATTATGACTTTGTGTTTGTGGTGTATGTGTATCTGTGTGTACATGCCTGTAAAGATCGTGGGTCAATGTCAGGGGTCCATCTTACTTTTTTGAGGCAGTGTCTCTCACTGAACCTGGAGCTCACTGATTGGCTACACTGACTGGCCAGCAAGCCCCAGGGATTTGCCTATTGATGCCCGCTACCAGCAGGGCCGAGGTTAGTGCACACTGCTGAGCCCGGCTTCTTACCCTTCTCTGGGGTAACCCTAACTAACTCTACCGAGACAATGCTGGTGACACACTCACCTGCTCTCTTTGTCCGCGTACATCTCTATGCACAGGGGGTTAATGGTGGAGTCGAGGACGACCCAGGAGCCCCCTCGGAGCTCAGCACAGGGAGGGATGTAGATAAGAACCGGCTGCTTGAACAGGCGGAGGCCATCCACGATGTAGGCACCAAACTTCAGCATCTGTTCGTACATGTCTACAAAGCAAGGCCTGCTTAGGAGACTTGGGCTCCGGGAATGCACCCACAAAGCCTGCAGCCTTCTCTGCCCTGGGCTCCTGAGGGACACTAAGAGAACTGAGGGGCTGAGCCAGGTCTGGCTCCCTTCCTCAGTGCCCATGTGACCTTGGGCAGGTTGTTCTGCATGAGAGTGTCTTCATCTGTGAACTCAAGCATGGCGACTGCCTTCTTCTGAGATGCCCAAGCTTGTCCATCTATCTGGTACACGCAGCCCGCTCTGCTCTCTCTGCCTTGCCAGGATCTCCCTCCAAGTCCCGTCCCCTCCCCCCCCATACCCTATGTGGTGACACTGCAATACTGTGACAACAGCTTATGTATGGGACCAGTGAGTGGGACTGTCACTGTGGTCCTCTCCATTCACAAAGGAGGGGTTTGGGGGTGCAGAGAGGTCACCCACATATGCCTCTCTCCCACCTCAGCTCTGTCTTCAGCACCTGGGAACCTTCTCTCTCTGGACATTCTGGGTGACTTAGACTGCAACTCTAAGTTCGGCTCTGAGGAAGGTAAACGGACATATGCCTTCTACATCCACGCAGGAAGGAGACTACCCAGGTTACCCAGGAGCTTGCAGAACAGACCTTCCTGTCTCACCCTTCACATGACCCCAGGAAGTCACCTGCCTCTCAGCTCGGATCCTCGTCTATAAACCAGGCGGTTACCTGATTGGCATCCTCCTGGGCTGCTGAGAGACACCCCGGTGACACTTACCCTTCATGCCGCCTGAGAAGCCTCTCCAGTTGGCAAAGATCATGAGAGGCAGGCGCTCCCTGTTAAAGTCCCTGATGACCTGCGCTGTCTTGTAGGCGGAGTCCGGGAACCACACCTGGCCCGCCTGCTGGATGATCTGTGCACAGAGTCACTTAGGTCAGACACTGACCCTGGGACGTAGGGAGCACAGGGCCAGTGATCACAGCTTCATCCTGTACTGTTTTATACCAACTTGACACAAGCTGGAGCCATTAGCGAGGTCGGGAACCTCAACTGAGAAACTGCCTCCATGAGATGGGGCCCTAGGGCATTTTCTTAATTAGTGATTCATAGGGGAGGTCCCAGCTCACTGTGGGTGGAGCCATCCCTGGGCTGGTGGTCTTGGGTTCTATAAGAAAGCAGGCTGAGCAAGCCAGGGGAAGCAAGCCAGTAAGCAGCACCCCTCCATGGCCTCTGCATCAGCTCCTGCCTCCAGGTTCCCGCCCTGTGTGAGTTCCTGTCCTGGCTTCCTTCAGTGATGAACAGTGATGTGGAAGTGTAAGCCGAATAAACCCTCTCCTCCCCAGCTTGCTTTGGTCATGGTGTTTTTTTCTCAATAGTAACCCTTACCAGGACAGGTACCAGAGCCAGGGCTCCCTAGAAACCCAAAGCGTGGCCATACCCTTAGGGTCTCACAGGTCCCCTAGTCTCATGCTCAGCCTGACCACACAGGAGTTGAGGCCTCATTGCAGCTCCCAGGAGCAGGAGTACAGGGGAAGTGGGAATGGGGACCTTTACCATCCTGGGAAGAAGCCCAGAATATTGGAATATCATGTGTCCCCTGGAGATACGGTGGGGAGATGGGCAGAGCCCCCAGACCAATCCCTACTTGAGGCCTCTGCTCTCCAGCTATCAGAAGCCTCTCTGAACGGGATGAAGGGATGTACTCTTGCCTCCAGTGGTGACAGTGGTGACAGTGGTCACGGCTCCTGGCCCCTCACCTTGGCCTCAGAATCCAAGTTTGCAGGGTCAGCAGGGACAGCCACCTCCACAGGCCGAGTCTCCACGGCAATCACGCCCACAGGGATGCCCCCCAGCCTGCAAGGCGAATGCACACAGGCTCAGCCCTGGGCTGCCTGCAGGCAGATCTCAGGGCCTCGGGATCTACCCAGTCTGCTGCCAGGTGTGCCCAGGTGGGAATGAGGGCTGTAAGTGGGGTGAGCTAACTGTACGGCAAAGGGGCAGCACCACGTCGCTAAGAACCATGCAGAGCTGTAGGTGCCCTGCCAGGGGGACAATGCTCTGGTCAAGATGGTGTCCGGCCACAGGAGCTGTGTGTTCCTCAGGCCATGCATCTAAGATGGCAACTCTGAACCACACACTGTTCCCAGCATCCTCCTCAGACGGACTTCAGCTTCAGATTTTCTGGCACTAGGAGAAAGCTCAGGACTTTGCATAGGGTGGGCAGGGGCTTTGCAACCTAGCCATTTCCTGGTCCTGAATTATGGCTTAAATTGTTACATATGGCCAGCAGCTCCACCCTGGGCAGCTTGGACACTGAACCAAGTCACACCGAAAAAAGGTTGAAGCAAGCCAGGATCAGTGACACAGGCCTGTGACTCAGCTACTTAGGAAGCCAAGGCAGGAAGATCGAGTTCAAAGCCAGTCTGGGCTACACAGCAGCACACTGCCTTGAAACGCAAGGCAAAGGAAGTTGGGATCCAGCTCAGAGATACAGCTTTTTGCCTGGCATGAACGGAGGTCCTGGGTTCCATCCCTAGCACTCAAAATCAGGGAGCAGGTGAGCAATATTAAGTACCATAGGGCCTGGCTCAGACGGGACAATGACATCAGCACCTGTCAGCCTGGGCTATCAACAGCCGGAGCCGCTGACGCACCTCTGCCCTTTACCCAGGCTACAATCCTACCAGGGTGGAGCGGTCTCCCCCAGGGAGGGCTCCGTGGTGGCGGGGTTCATTCAAGGATTGTACAAAAAGGGTTTCTAAAATAAATAGGGGACTATAACTAAAGGCCAATGACACACGATTTTACAACGTGTGTGTGTGTGTATGTATGTGTATGTGTGTGTACGTGTGTGTGTATGTATGTATGTGTATATGTGTATATGTGTGTATGTGTGTGTATGTATGTGTGTGTATGTGTATATGTGTGTATGTGTGTGTATGTATGTGTGTGTATGTGTATATGTGCATATATGTGTGTATGTGTGTGTATGTGTGTGTATGTGTATATGTGTGTATGTGTGTGTATGTGTATATGTGTGTATGTGTGTGTATGTGTGTGTGTATGTGTGTGTATATGTGTGTGTATATGTGTGTACACATGTGCTATGCTGCATGCGTGAAGGGGCCTTTTGGGGTCTGTTGCCTTCTACCTTTATGTAGGTCTTGGGGACTGAACTTTGTGACAAACCAACCGTGCTGTTTACTACCCATGAGATAAGAACAAGACCCAGCACCACGTAGGGAGCACGTGACACACATGAAACGCCTAGCATGGTGCTGCTCCTTTGGGCTGTATATCATCTCCATTAAACAGACACAGCCACAGAGGCCTGGGGAAGGTGGAGCGTGAAGCCTGGGTTTGTAGCTGTGACGTCATGCTGGGAACCCGAACGGTTAGTTAGAGGACTCAGCTTCGGCCACATGGGAAGGGAGGAGCTCCCTGGTGACTGGGGCGCACAGAGGTGGGTGTGACATTGTAAGGGAAGAGCCGCCCATTTCTGGAAACATTTAACACCCCCAGAGACACCTTCTGGGGGGTCCCCTGTGGCTGTGGGAGTGACCTAGGGGCAAAGGTCACAGCCCCACAGAAGGTGGCAGAGGCTCGAAAGCCCAGTTGGGCCCACACTGCACAGCACAGGCGGCTTCATCGTCCGTGACACGTCTCTCTAAATTGTCTTGCTTTCCTTTATCTTGAGATCATAATTTAATTACAGTGTTTCTCTTTTCCCCTTCCTCCCTCCCTCCAGCCCCTCCCATATGTCCCTTCGTCCTCTCCTTCAAATTCACGGCCCCAGCTTTGATTGCTATTGCATGCATATATGTATTTGTACATACATACATACATATTCCTAAATATAACCTGCTCAGGCTGTATACAGTTATGTACATTTTCAAGGATGACTGTTTGGCACGGGATGGGGAGGACCACCTCTCCTGCTCCCAGCTTTCCTCAGTTGCCTGGAGTTCTCTGTATAGGGCTGAGGCATCATGGGCTTTCCCTTGTCTAGGTTGACACGTGTGTTGGCGTCATCCTTGGTTCAGCTCACGTTTTTATTTTTACTTTTTTATTTTGGGAGTCTGTGTGTGATGTATAAGCACACATTGTGTGTGCACATGTGCATGTGTGCACACATATGTGTGCACGTGTATGTGGGTGTGGGTGTGTGCACGTGTGTGCAGGTGCATACACATGTGCGTGGGCATGTATGTGCACGTGTGTACATGTGTATACTTGTGTATGCTGTGCGTGCATGTGTTCATGTCTATATGTGTGTGTGTGGCGTGTAGGTATGTGTAAGCAAGTGTGTCCACATGCATGTGCATATGTGTGCACACCTGTGTGTGTACATGTATGTGGGTGTATGTGCACATGTGTATAGGTGTGCATGCATGTGCATGTGTATGTGTTCACGTGTACAGGTGTGTGTTGTACAGGCATGTGTAGGCAAGTGTGCACACACATATGTGCATGTGTGTGCATGTGTACATACCTGTGAGTGTGCGTGTGTGCACATGTGTGTGAATGTGTGTGCACACCTGTGAGCGTGCACGTGTGTTCATGTGTGTGCACATACATGCAGAGTTCACTGTCGGCTGTCTTCCTCACTCATTCTCTTCCTCGTAGGGTCAGTCATAACCTGGAGCTTTCCACCTCAGAGTGGCTGGCCAGCGTGGCTGGGCTCTGACCCCCTAACCCTAGTGCTGAGATTATACGGCAGCACTGGCTTCTCATGTGGGTGTCAGGGAGCTGGACTCAGTCCTCCTGCCGGCAGGGCAAGCACTTCTTAGCTATCGCCCCATTCCCTAATTTTGCCCTTTGCATTCAGAAAAAATCTATGGACCGAGAAGAGAGGGCCCTGGCAGCCCTGGCAGCCCCAGCCTAGTGCTCAAGAGTCCCAGAGCCCGGTGGGCAGAGTGCAGCCCACCCGTCTCGTCTCGAGTTACCTTGCTCTTCCGGTCACCACGGTCTGGGCCCAGGGTGCCATGATTTCCTTGAAACTGCCATGGTCGAAGAACCCACTCTGCCAGGTCCCCTTCAGAGCTGTGGGAAGAAGGACGGAGGCCCTGACTGAGGTCTGGGGAGGCCCAGGGTCTGCCTGGCAGCGTACACTGCTGTGGCCTTGACCCTATAGGCCTGTGTTCCTTCTCCTGAAGCCCACACAGAGTCTAAACCTTTACACCAAAAACAAAAACAACCACCAAACAAAATAAAACAAAACCACGATTACAAAAGCTACAACAAGATGGGAATTCATTTCTGAGGGTATTCCACCTCCCTCCAACTGCTCGTATAATGCCAGACACGCTGACATCCCAAACACAGCCCCCGCCCAGAGATAGCAGGGTTAGAAAATTCCTTCTTCCCACAAGGTGAGATTCCAGGAAGGGACCACCAACCCTGGAACCTTATTCTGGCCCACTGGCTACGGCTCAGTATCCTTGAGAAGAAGCAGATCATCCGATGTCCCAGAGACACACAGGGTGACATTGGTACTCCAGCCAAGGCTAGGGTTGGGGACCATGGTTGGGGCAAATGGCTGCCATTCTGACAAGAGCTGAAAGGCCTGGCAGCAGGTGACTCAAACACAGCAGTGGCTGAATGCTGAAAATAAGACCTGCTGCTTCAGCCTCTGACTTGGGACTCAGGGCTGGTTCTATAGGATACAGCACACAGTGGGACATACCACTGGAGGGAGTCAGCACACAGTGGGACATACCACCAGAGGGAGAGCTCTATAAAACAGAGAAGCCATGGGGACCCTTCCGCCTTGGAGAGGTCCTTGTAGGAACAGCTGCACAGCTGAAGGCAACTGCACATGAACTTTTAGACCTGGGCCGGGGTGACAGGCTAGCTCAGCCTTCCCATTCGAGCAGCCTTCGTAATATAGCATCCCTCCAAGAGACAAAGACATTCCCCGGGGAGGGAGAAAACGTGTGTGAATGTGTGTGTGTGTGTGTGTGTACGCATATGTGTGTGAAGAAAGTCTGTCTCTTTTGTGAAGTCTAGCCAGAGGGAAAGAGGCAAGAGGGAGATGAAGTCACTGAGCAGTTTAGAGAAGGAAGACTTGGTCAGCGCTGACCCTTGGCTCCAGACACTGAGCTGTTTGTTTCCAACCCGTATTGGCCCAGGAAAAGCAGAGTCCAGCCTCCATCCCCACCTCTGAGCTCACACCCACCCACCCCTGCTGAGAGATGCGACCCTACATAAACACTTCCATCAAAATGGCTCTTGACAGTAGACTCGGAAAAGAGTCTCAAGTCTGGGGTCCACCACCCCTCACCCCCGCAAACACTTTGGGACTTACTTGGGTGAGGCCTCCCTGCAAGCAGCCACCTGGGGTCATAGGGAGCTTTGGTTGGAGTGAATTCAATTTCCCTGTCAATGGGGTCAGAAGGAGTGGTGATGGGGACCGGGCTGCAGTTGTCCTGGAAAAGAAGTCCAGGGCCGTCCGGGTCAGTCCCTGTGGCGTCTGCCTGCTTTCCCCTCTGTGTACATCTCTAGCTGGGCAACAGCGCCCCCCACTGGGGCTCCAGAGCCACTGCTCCAGCTAGAAAATGGTACTAAGTACTGTCTACATTCCTCTAAAACTTAAAAGAGACCTGGGTGTGTCAGAGCTCATATAGAGTCTGGGAGCCACTCAGGACTAGCATTCTCCCAGTGAGGCGATTGAAGAAACTGAGGCCCAAACACCTACCTAGTCAAGACTAATTAGAGCAGTCCTGTGAGATGACAGATAATTAATCAATATAGGTCCTGTGGGAACTATTGATAACTAATCAGGCCAGTCCAGGATAGCCTTGCAGGGGAGGCCCTGAAAAGAACAGAGCCCTGGGCATCAGGCCCCCACATCACCATGGCAACACACTTCACAGAGGAGGAAAATGGAGGCTCAGAAAGATCAGGAGGCTGCCTCAGGATTAGCAGACACTGTCCCTGCATCCTTATGTCCTTGCAACACTTCAGAGCCTCCCCAAAAGCAAAGGACAAAGCTGGGTATCAGAGAGGGACGGTGGGAGGAGCCGAGTCCCCCCTAACACCATGAGCCTATCCCCACAGGCGCCTAGGCTTTCAGGCCACCTAGGCTTTCAGGCCACCATGGAGTACCGCACCTTCGGCATATACGACAGCCATTCCAGAATGGTGCAGACCCCCTCGAAGTCATCTGGCACGGTGACGTGGGAGACCCCGTTGGTGTGCATGATCTGCACGCCACCCAGCTGGTTGTTGGACGTGTAGACCTCTCGTCCCAGGACCTGTTTTGACATGGCACAGTTAGCAAAGCCACCCATCTTGCTGGGTCCTCTGCTCTGGATATTTGTCAAAAGGACCTAGAAGCTTCTGAAACATCTGCCATGCAGGTTCTACCCAAACCAATCCCTTCAGTGTCTTCAGGGAGAGTGCCAGGCATTGGTGGTCTCTGTGTCTTTAAGAACTCTAGGCAGTTCTAAAATGCAATTTGGGAACCATCAAGACCCCTGAGATCTGGAAAACGAATGGGTTCCAGCTTCAGCAGGAGGTCTGTACCGGGTCTACCCAGGTGCTGCTGCAGAAACCACACGTGGAGCGTCTCGGTGGGCTCTGAGTGGGTATTAAACACAGAGTCCCGAGCCATGTGGAAAATCCTGCAGGTTACAAAACAAGCAGGTGACGGAACTTTATGCTCACAGGGAATTCACTGCAGGCGAGCCAAAACACAAGGGTTCGACCCCCAAAGCATAGAAGATGCAAAATCGCTTGTGGGGCTTTTCTCAGTTTCCTGCAAAGTGTGACGCCACCTTAATAATATTTTTAATGCAAGCTGGAGAGTTAGTTCCAGGAGGGCGGGTCACCAGGGGATCGGGAATCTGCAAACTGAAAAAATAGGGCTCTCTCCTGGAAGAAAGCTGGTACCGGTAATCCACAATGGCCACCGGGGCTGTGGAGGTTTAAATGAAAACAGCCAAAGAGGGAGTGGCCTCATTGGTGGTGTGGCCTTGCTAGAGGTGTGGCCTTGTTGGAAGACTTTGTCACTACGGGTGGGTTCTGATGTTTCAGACACTCAAGTCTGGCCTACTGTCTCTTCCTGTTGCCTGCCAATCCCGGTGTAGAACCACGTCTGTGTGCCACCATGTTCCCACCTCGACAATAAAGGACTGAACCTCTGAACCTGTAAGCCAGCCCCAGTCCAATGTTTTCTTTTACAAGAGATGCCGTGGTCCTGGTTTCTCTTCACAGTAGTGGAACACCGGCTAAAACAGCTGCTGAGTGAGATGTGACCAGGTCCCCACACCGCCCCTCCCCTGGCCTCGCTCATAGCACCTTGTTGAGAGCACTGGCCCCTGTGAGGATGATGTGGGAGTTTTCCACTTGGATCACCCGCTGGCCGAGCCTCACCAGGTAAGCCCCGATTCCGAGGGCGCGGCAGGTCACCTATGGAGAGACACACACACTCACACAGAGGGCATCTCGCTGTGCAACCACAGCTGGTAGAACTCTCTAAAAGATGATCCTCCTGCCTCTGCCTCTGCCTCCCACGTGTTGGGATGACAGGTGTGTACCACAGCTGGCTGGAGTCTTGTTTCCTTCTGGCAACTGTATCAGCTCTGCTTCTGCCATTATCAGTACCTTAAAGGCTCCTCAGAGCTCCTCCGAGGCCCACCCAGTGAGAGGTAGTAGAAACTCTAAGAGGTTGGCCCTGTGTGGATGCCCAGGAGACTGGAGGAGTGTCACCAGGAGAACCATGAGAGCCCAGTAGCTTCCTCCGTCCCTGGCTGCCTGGGCCTAGCTGAGCAACCATGCTCTCTGCCTTATATCCCCACAAGAGGCTCGAATCGTCAAGACCCCGAGATCCCGTGGCCCCTCTGAAACTCCAAGTCCAGATTAACCTTTCCTCTTTATAAACTGAGTACATCCTGTGTCTTTGTCATAGTCACAGGGAGTAAAGGATGTGACTTTTATCTGAAAAGAATGAGGTCAGTCGCTAGGTGGTGGTGGCGCACGACTTTAATCCCAGCACTTGGGAGGCAGAGGCAGGCGGATTTCTGAGTTCGAGGCCAGCCTGGTCTACAGAGTGAGTTCCAGGACAGCCAGGGCTACACAGAGAAACCCTGTCTCGAAAGAAAAAAAAATTGATACCTTTATTCTTTTACTTAAGAATTTTACATTAATGTGTCTGTGTGTATATGTATGTATGTATGTACAAATGTACTTGTTGCAACATACATGTGGAGGTCAGAGGGCAACAGGAGAGAGACCGCTGTCTCCTCCTGTCACGTGGGTTTCACACACGAAACCAGGTTATCAGACTTGGTGGCAACCAACTTTGCCGAATGAGCCATCTTGATTTGCTGGGCATCTATTTTTAAATTTAATTTTATACTTGTTTTTGAGACAGGGTCTCAAAACTATATAGTCTTGGCTGGCCTAGAACTTGCGGCATAGACCAGGCTGACTCAAAGTGATTCTCCCGACTCTTCCTAGACAAAACCAGAGAAACAGACTTGAGACAGCTGTTAAAACTGAGACCAAACGATGTGAGCTCTGTGAAGTTACGGTTTCAGATGTTGCTGTATTGACAAACTGTAGTTACAAGCAAAACGGGAAGGCCAGGTGTGGATGATCCCAGCACTGAAGCAGCTTAGGCAGCAAGGATCACAAGTTCGAGGCCCAGCCTGAGTTATATAGCAAGACTGAGTCTCAAAAGAGAGAGGGGCGGGCCTGGGGAATGGCTCAGCTAGAAAGTGCTGCCAGGCAACCTAAAGACTTGAGTTTAGATTCTCAACGGCCAGGTAAAACTCAGGCATGGCAGTTTGCAGCCCAATCCCAGGGAGACAGAGACAATTCCAGGGAGGCGGAGACAGGAGGATGCTGCAGCTCACTGGCCAACTCTAGACTCAGCAAGACTCTCTGTCCCCTCCCTCTCCCCAAAATCAGGTGAAAAGGATAGAAGATGCCTAATGTTGATCTCTGGCCTCTACGTGGGCGTGCGCTCACGTGTGCACACGCAGTCGCACACGCGCACACTCACATAAAAGGGAAACGAAGGACAGAAGAAAGCAGGAAGGCACTCACCATGCTGATGGTGACGGTCTTCTCATAAGCCAGGGAAGCTTCTCCTGCGATCATGCCCGAGCCCCGCAGGTTCTCCACACCCAGGCCGCCGTCCTTCCCGATGACATCCATGATGACATACCTGCAAGGTTCAAACGGGACTGAAGTCAAGGCTCCTCTCAAACCAAAAAACGACAGAAGTCCACATTTCCCACAGGCCTAGGCAGGGGGCTGGGGAGTGGTGATGAGCAAAGACAAATGCTGGGACCCCAAAACAGTCAGAGGCAAAGTGAAGATGGGGGCTCAGAGTCCTGGGTACTACACTTCCAAAAGATCAAGGTGGACGTAGACATGACCATCCCCCACTCAAACAGAGGCTTAGTGAGACACACCCTACCCTACATCCACAGGAAGCTAGCTTAGCCTTTGGTCTGTGGAGAGAATGACCTTAGTTCACGACCCGATCAGCCATGATTCCTGACCCCAAGGGGTGAGCCACACTGGCCAGCTCCCGCTAGAAATTCTCAAGCTGTTTTGCCGGCTGTATTTAACTGAGTTTCCCAAATTTATCTCACTGTGGATTTAAAAACATTTCACCTGTCATTTACATTCCAGGAAGTCATCTAGAGAATTTATCCGGGCTTTGTTTGATTCCCCTTAATTGCATTGAGGAAGACAGCTGGGAACCTCTCACTTCTCAGAGAACAGACCCCCAAGGAGCACCGGTTTTTTTTTGTTTGTTTGTTTGGTTGTTTTTTTTTTTTTTTTTTGATAATTGAATCATAAGACATGAACCTTTTGCTGGGTGGTGATGGTGCACACCTTTAGTCCCAGCACTCAGGAGGCAGAGGAGGCAGAGGAGGCAGAGGGGGCAGAGGGGGCAGAGGGGGCAGAGGAGACAGAGGAGACAGAGGCAGAGGCAGAGGCAGAGGCAGAGGCAGAGGCAGAGGCAGAGCCAGAGGCAGAGCCAGAGGCAGAGCCAGAGGCAGAGGCAGAGGCAGAGGCAGGTGAATCTCTGAGTTTGAGGCCAGCCTGGTTTATATGGCATGAGTTTTAGGATAGCCAGGGCTACACAGAGAGACCCTGTCTCAAGAAAGACAGAGAGCAAAAGAGAGGCAGAGACATAGACAGATGAGGGGGAGGAAGGAAGGAAGGGTAGAAGGGAAAGGAAGGGAGGAAGGGAAGAAGGGGAGGAAGGAAGAGAAGGGAAGGAAGGAAGGAAGGGAAGAAAAGAAGGAAGGAAGGGAAGGAGGAAAGAAAGGAAAGGAAGAAAGGAAGAGAAGAAGGGAAGGAAGAAAGGAGGGAGGGAAAAAAATGAACCTTTACAATCTAATCTTTTCCCCGCATGAGCTGCTATTTTGGGTACTGGATGCATCACTGCAGGTGTAGCTCAATGGCTCATCACCTGCCTAGGGTATACAAGGCTCAACAAAGAAAAAGAAAGAGGAGGGAGGGAGGGAGGACTGAATCGTTTGGCGGTAACCAGGAGTTATTAGCACTGCACACGGAAGCGCCCCCTATGGGCAGCTGAGGTGAACTGTGACCACACCAGGTCTTGCCCGTCAGCGCGGCGTTTACCTGGATTCACCGTCGTCCTCGATGTGTTTGCAGTGTACCGAGTTCAGGGAGCTGATCTGGGTGTAGTCTTGGGGCGTCAGGTACAGGTATCTAAATCCCTTAAAAAAAAAACACTTCGGGTGAGCTGCGGATCCCGTCCCATGGACTCCACAGCCACCAGACGGTCTAAGGTGTCAACACCGTCCAAGGCAGCCGTCTGCCAAACACGGGGCTACTCCGAGCTTCTCTCCTCTTTACCCACAGCCTCATGCTCTGTCTGGGTATGTACTGTCTAGGGAATGCGTGTGCTCACGTGTGCACATGCGTGTCTGTGTGTACACAGCGGACAGCCCAAATCTGAGGGACTGGAAGTGCCTCAGATGTAAATACGTCTAGTTTTGGAATGCCTGCTTCTACCTACTGGGACATCTTGGGGGTGGGGCTCATTCGTGTTTCGAAGGCACCTATTGGGTACAGCAGCGGTTCTCAACCTGCGTGGGTCATGACCATTGGAAAACACGTAGAGCTGGCTGAGCGGTGGCTCAGTAGCAAAATTACAGGTATGAAGTAGCAACAAAAATAAATTTGTGGTTGAGGGTTCCTAAGACTATTAGAAATGTGTTTTTCAGTGGTTGTGACCCACAGGCTGAGAACTGCCGGGCTAGAGGTATAACCTATATGTAACCTATAGATAGCCTATATGTAACCCTATAACACACTGTCATGACTTTGTGCGTTTTCACTGTGAGCATCCCATGACCTCAGATGTGGGTAAAATTTGCTACTTTAGGGATGAGATTAGTGACCAGAAGGTTTCAGATTACAGAGCATTTTGAATTTCAGGTGTTTAGACTAGATATAATTTTTTTAAAGAAATAGAAAATTAATTTTCTACTCCAAAAGTACTTTTTTTCTCCTTTAGGGAAACAGTGTCACTGGAGAACATGTTCTGTGTGAGAGTGACCACATGTCATCTCACACCAGGGCTGTGTGCCTACAGCGACAGGAGAGGTGGGTAGAGAGGACCCTGGAAGCTTGCCAGCTAGCCCAGAAGCCTTGACAGACCCCAAGCTGAGAAGGGCCTGTCTTAAACAGAAGGTGAAAAACGCCTGAGGTTGTCCTCTGACCTCTAACTACATGTACACACACATACACACACTCAGAGTATGACACACATGTGCACCCTCACATGCACATACATATGTACACAGTGTACCCTCACACATGTGCACTCACACATACACAAACACATGCATGCACACACATGCATACACATGTGTGCCCTCACACCTGCACAGACATGTGCACATACACATGCACCCTCATACGTATATACATACATACACACACACAGAGTGCATACGGATACACACATACACACACATGTATACAGTGCACCCTCACACATGCATACACGTGTGCACACACATGCATACACATATGCCCTCACACATGTGCACACATACATGATCTAAGGCCTGGGTGTGGGACATTACTCACTTTGCATTCTGGGTATACATGGATTTAGAAGCCAGCGTATGTCACCTACATATCTACAAGTTTCTCGTTGTCATGCCCCTACGGGGTGTTTTTAGCCATTTTGTGCCAATCACCATGCCCCAAAGCATTTTGTTTCTTGGTTTTGCTTTTTTGTTTTGTTTTGAGACAGGTCTCACTACATAGGGCAGGCTGCCTTAAACTCTATCCTCCTGCCTCCGTCTCCCGAGTGCTCAGACACGCATGTGGCGCTGTGCCTGGCTCAGTAAATCTGAGTTGTATAATAGATGGTGGGCTTACAGTCAGTGTACTCTACCCTTTCCCACCGTCCAACAGGAAGCTTGACACCCTGTCGATGTGATTCCGGCTCTGTGTCTCTTACCTGCGTGGGGTCAGAAGCAGTTTAGATTTTGAGTTTTTTTTTCAGACTGGCATATTTGCATAGAATGAGATATCCAGGGAGCGAGGTACCAAGTCTAAACACAACATTCATCCGTGTTGCTCAGATACCACACACACATCACCTTCAGGTGCCCATGTTCTGACTGAAACTCAGTGAATGAGGTTGGGTGGGACTTTCTGTTTGGGACATCGCACTGACATTTAAGCTTTGGATCTGGAAGCGTTTCTGATATCGGGGCTTTTGGGTTATAGATGCTTTATCCGGGTAAGCACCACACCACCAGCCACGAATCTGACGTACTTTGTGGGGATCCTCTGGGTCCACCCAAGCCACTTGGAATATCTGTTTGATCTCCTCGGCCAGGCCCATACGGGCCCCACTGTTAGCTGCCAGGTAGATCTTGGGGATGCCCTCTGTACGGGCCATCTCAGACGCCCGAAGGTACAGGAAGTCCTCCCCTACGCCGAAAGAGCCGATTTGGAAGGTGATGTCATTGCCGATGACAATGGCGCCCCGGCCTTCTGGATACTCCGGGGTCTTGAACCTCATTTTGAAGGCCACCATGCCCACCTGGGAAGGAGATGAGGGCTAAGCAAAATGACTCTGGTTCTTCCAGGTCACATCTGCAGCAAGCTGACCCCAGCTGCCAGGTCCCGTTGCATGCCCACCTCCTACCTC